ATACCATACTATGTGTGTTTAGTCATTTGTTCAACCTTCATGACCACATAGATTTTATAATGAAATTAACTTTTTGGGGGCCAAACTTTTCATTCGCACGCTCGCATCAGTTTTGGGGTTCCCAGAGGATGTCATCCGTATAATCAAATCAACATGGCCTATCGTAGTATTGGATTGTCAAGCCTCAGCACGACTCCCATATCGCACTATGCCCTGTTCTGAGTGCTGACATTGACCCTTTGTGTAGAGCACCCCAAGGTTGCCGTAACATGGCTTCCTGTGACCCCAACGACTTTGATATGTACATTTTCGCATCACATGTTATCCTTGTGAAACCGACATCAGTAGCTCAAGTCGAAACAAACTACGACTTTGGTGGGAGCAAGGGACTAGTTGGAAAACCTGTGAGTGTTACAAGCGGTTTGGGAACACATTCTAAGTGTAGAATGTAATCTCAAAGGGGGAGGGGGGCAGGTATTGAACTTTGATTGATGACAACGAAAAGCAGCACGTATTACCGCAGACCGCATCCAACCGTAATGAAGTCTCCCGTGAAACTTGCCAGCACTATTCCGGAACGTCGGGTGCAAAATGAAAATGGCGTTTTTCATTTCTAAGTCCATTTAGAGTGTCAAGATCTATTAGGTTTATTTGTACAGTACACTGATTGTCTTATTTTTAGATGTTTGCAAAAACTGAAAGTTGGAAGAAAATGCGACTCATACATCATTTAAAGGCATCCAATGCAAGGACGGCAAAACTGGATTTTTATGTCAATTTCTTGGTCATCCTTTTCTTAATGTAGTAGTTAAATCAAGACTATGCTATAGCATGCTAATACCGGTGAGACAAAGATGCGATGTCGCTAACCGAAAATGGTTGATTGTTTTCTTCAGTTTCTTCCTCCTCATCCTCTTCTCCGAACAAATTAAGTCAATGACCTGGGCCAGACGTCTGTCACCATGGTAACTGGTCCTGTAGCAGACACCCTGTGGTGTTGGGTTACATTATGTAGCACAATAGAGTTGGAGGGGCCGGTCTCAATATATTATATAAGAATGTGTTTGAGTAAGAATTAACAGAGCAGTAGTTTGGTGGACTAGACCATGTGAAGGCAAACATTATGCATTTGCTTTGCAAATGTTACCTTTCTAGTTTTTCTCTGTTTCTTTTGTACTGTGTAATTTTACGTTGTTTTATGGGCGACGCGTCCCTCTCCAGTTCGCCGCCTACAAGTCAACCTTACGATTCAGTTCGCTTCACCGTGAAAATTGCTTTCCGTCCTCCTCTCAACTGAGACAGAAGGTCTTGCTCCCTCTCTTTCTCTTCCCATCTCAATAATTCTCATTCTGTCGCCTCATAACTTTCTGTTTCCTCATGATGTTTCAGACAATAATTTTAGTTTTGGCCTTATTGTGAAGATCACATGGCGGTTTTGGAACGTTGGAACGTGGGTTGAATCGACGGGGTAGGCTGAACGTCTTAACCTCCATAACCTCTTTCCGATCCTCTAGGCATGGAGTGTGATCTGGTGATGCATATGGAACAATCATCGGTTTACCAGGTTACTACACATGTCAGAAGAGGTTAACTACGCACGATGAGAGGAACATCTGGGGCTCATAATTAACGGCTGTAGCAGCTTTCCTTGGCACACGCCCAGATTTTGAAGCAGGCCTATATGTATGGGTGCTGCCTGTGTTATTTCGGCATCGACATGAAACTGTCAAATAGTTACGATGGCAATAGATTCTCCTCATCTAGGATACGGCACGAAGAGTTGGTATAGCCGTATTTCTGCTGCTTGATTCTGTTTCCGAATATGGCAGGTTGACAAAACTGTACTAAAGTACAGCTGGTATAGCCGTATTTCTGCTGGTAGGTACTGATATGTATGTATCAATGTCAAATATGGCAGGTTGACAAAACGCTGGTACAATGTATACTCGGGTATTTCTGCAGGTTGACAAAACTGCACTATAGCATATTGTCAGACTGCGTTATCATCTAGTGCCGAGAAAGATGGAGTCTTCGCTTACATTTCTATGTATTTATTTATCTATCTATACATTGCTCTCAGTATTTTATTAAAATCTTGAAAAACCCAATATAACGAAGGCTTAGGCATAAACCCACAGTATGTTTAACTACGGTATAGTCGCATGTGTAAAAGACATCGTGACCCTAGCATGTCGATGTCCTGATCACGAGATATCAAAATCGGAAGTTTCGCTGCAGTACCATAACAAGCCGCCAGGGGGCCAAAAATATAATCATTTTTATGTCTCATCAAGACCTACCCACCTATTCTCGGCTTTCACGTGACGTCACGGGGCTTGCGTAATACAGGCGGCCGCCATGTTGGTGTACCTCGGTGTAGTGCTATGCAGTGTCAAGACGTTGGTACCGAAGCCATACAAGTAATTAACAGCCACACGATAATTCTGCAGTCTTTGATGGTTGACAGATGACAAGGTTTTTTTGTTGTACATTTTTGAGAGGATAGGAAGTCAAAGGATACGATGACAAAGGATATAGGACGACAAAACTTGCGTATGTGTGAACGAACTTCAAAGACTAACGTTACTAGTATCTCCTTCACAGTCCTACAGTGGACAGGATCCGTATGTTGGTCACTCTAGTCTATTTTTTTTCTCAATAAATGAATTAA